AAGCTTGGGGTGTGAGGACAAAAACTCTGATCACGCTAGTGAGGAAAAACGATGTAGCCACTGGGGCGTAGGTTTCTTGCGGTCCGACCAGTTTTACTCAGAGTTTATTTCCGCACACCTTGCTTCTAGGTTTTAGCGTGAGAAAGGGTTAGGTATAGAGAATGTCTACTGAAATAGACACTCTTGCCAGCCCCTGAGGGAGTCCCGACCCCCTACCGTTGCTAAGGTTGGGGGCTCGATCGCGAAATTAATAAGAGAAAACATGCATAAATTAAGGGGGATCCGTCTCTCGGCAGCGGCCCGAACCGTCTGATCGACTTGGGTGACCCGTTGGCATAGGACTTACCTCGATGGCACGAGTGACGAGTTTGGGCAGCTCTTACCAGATATGTCCGAGTGGAATCCGGGTCCGTCGTTCATGATAGAGTCAGAATAACTCGCATGGGGCATCCTTCTGCTCCTTACCCATCTCTCGACAGCGGCCAATCCGTCTGATTGACTTGTGTGACCTGCTGACATAGGACTTACCTATGGAGGCAGAGCATGAGATCATCCCCCCTAAGAAATTAGTTAGGCATATACGCCAGGCGGCGAACTTGTATTAAGCAGACAAGCTCTTAAATTTTGTTATGGCATAACAGACTTTTAGCCCTTCTCCACTTTTCGTATAAAAAGGTTAGTGCATTTTGACCCTTTCTATCGTTAAGGCCATAAAGCTCGGGGTGTGGGTGAACAAACTCTGATCATGCTGGTGAGCAAAAACGCCATAACTGCTGAGGCATAGGTTTCTTGCAGTCCGACCTGTTTTACTCAGCGTTCGTTCCCGCAACCCTTGCTTCTAGGTCTCGACGTGAGAAAGGGTCGGGCACGGAGAATGTTTGACAGGTGGATATACTCTTAGATGCGTACCGACACTTTCCTAAGTTAAGGCTAAAAAGTTCGGGGTGCAGAAAAAACTCTGATCACGCTGGTGAGCAAAAACGTCGTAGCTGCTGGGGCGTAGGTTTTTTGCAGTCCGACCAGTTTTACTCAGCGTTCGTTCCTGCAACCCTTGCTTCTAGGTCTCGATGTGAGAAAGGGTTGGGCATAGAGAATGTCTACCGAATAAATATGCTCTTATTAGCCCCGAGTGAGGCCCGATCCCCCGCCGTTGCTGGGGTCGAACGTCACTCAAAGATCGGGGAGTTGATAGCGAAACTAATAAGAGAAAGTGTGTGTATATTAAGGGTAAAAGCGGCGTAGCTGTTCGATGTTCCAGGCATTGACGAAGACTTCGCCGTCGATGGTCTTGAGCTTGTAGGTGCCTAGTCGGAGCACCTCTGCGACGACGTATGGTCCCTCACTCCCTCCCACGGGGGAGAGAGCTTATGGCAGTTCTTGTTGCTCTAGACAAGGTAGAGCACCAGGTCCTCGACATTGAAGGCCCGACCCCACACTCGACGGCGGTGGTACCGGCACAACGCTTGCTGGTACTTGGCCGAGCAGAAAAGGCGACGTCGCGCGCTTCATCTAGCTGGTCCATGGCATCCTCGAGGGACGCCTCGGCTCCCTGTTCGTCGTATGCCCTGACCCTTGGTGCTCCATAATCGAGGTCAGTTGGGAGGATAGCCTCAGAACCATAGACCATAAAGAATGGTGTGCAGCCGGTGGCCCAGCTAAGGGACGTCCTCAGGCTCCAGAGCACCGCGGGAAGCTCCGTGACCCATCATCCCTAAACTTGTTCAACTGGTTGAAGATCCTAGGTTTGAGACCTTGTAGGACCATGCCGTTTGCGCGCTCCACCTGCCCATTCGTGCGGGGGTGCGCAACGGCGGCCCAATCGACGCAGATGTGGTATTCATCGCAGAATCGAAGGAACATCTTTCCGGTGAACTGCGTGCCGTTGTCCTTGATGATGGAGTTTGGGACTCCAAAGCGATGGATGATGTCAAGGAAGAATAGCACGGCTTGCTCGGACTTGATCACAGAGATCGATCGAGCCTCTATCCACTTTGTAAACTTGTCTACAGTGACAAGCAAGTGCGTATAGACCCCGGGCACCCTCTTGAGAGGTCTGACCAGATCGAGCCTCCAGACCGTGAACGGCCACATGATGGGGATCGTATGGAGTGCTTGGACTGGTAGGTGGGTCTGTCGAGCGTAGTATTGACACTCTTCGTAGGTGCACACAATATGTTCAGCATCGGCTACCGTGGTCGGCCAGTAGAAGCCTTGTCAGAACACGTTTTCGACCAGGGTTCTAGACACGGCATGGTGACCGTAGACCCCACTATGGATGTCGCTCAGCAACCGCTTCCCTTGTTCGATGGGGATACAACGCTGCAGGATCCCGGTGTGGCTTCGCTTTTAGAGCTCGCCTTCAATAAGGACAAAAGACTTGGCGCGACGCGTGAGCCGCCGAGCCTCCGTCTTGTCGTCGACAGCGCCTCGCGGAGGAGGTAGTCGAGGTAAGGCGCCCTCCAGTCAGCCAGAGGGTCGGGCTTTGTCGCTAGATTCTCGTCAAGCTCCATAACTTCAGGGTCGGATGGAGCTCTCAATGAGATCTACAACTTTATAGTTTTGAGTTTTTACATTTGAGATCGTTAAAATGCACGAAAAAATAATATAAAATTTCAGCAGCATAATAATCACGTACTAGCGCTTGTCGCATTAGAAAAATAATATCGTTTTTCTATGTTGTCAAATAAAGATACATTTTATATCAAAGTTGTAGCCCTAAGTGAGATCTACAAGTTTATAGTTTTGAGTTTTTACATTTAGAGTCGTTAAGATGCTCAAAAAGTAATATAAAATTTCGGTAGCATAATATGTTACTTTATATTAGTTTTTAGAGTATGTTAACGACCTTAAATATGAAACTTAAAACTATAAACTTGTAGATCTCACTAAGAACTACAATTTTGATATAAAGTGTATCTTCTTTTGACACCATACAAAAATGATATTATTTTTCTAATACGACAAGTGCTAGTACGCGATTATTATGCTGCTGAAATTTTATATTATTTTTTCGTGCATTTTAACGATTTTAAATGTAAAATATCAAAACTATAAAGTTATAGATCTCATTGAGAGCTATAACTTTTATGTAAAAAGTATCTTCATTTGACACCATACAAAAACAATATTATTATTCTAATGCGAGAAGCACATGTACACGGTTATTATGCTTCTAAAATTTTATATTAATTTTTTGAGCATCTTAACGTAATTAAATGAAAAAACTCAAAACTACAAAGTTATAGATCTCATTGAGAGCTACAATTTTCATATAAATTTCATCTTCATCCAACGTTGTATCAAAGACTTATGATTTTTTAAAAGTTTTGTCTTGTCACGCCACTCCAGCGGGCGTGGCGTGACCCGATGTCGGAAACGCCGTCTAATGTGGTGGATGTTGCCGTGCCAATGCATGTGGCGCGACAACGTTATTTGGTCGCGCCGGTAGATAAAAAAAAATTTAGGAGTAATTATTATTAAAATATTGAATAAAAAGGATTAAAAATAAAAAAAATCCAGGATATTGTGGGCCTTAGGCAAGAATTAGCCGTCATTGAAGACGAGATCCATATGCTTACCAAACAAACCATTCCCAGACCTCGTCTTGATAATGAAATGGAATACAGGGATATTATCCAGGGAGGTATGCAATTAGAGGAACAGATGCGTGCTCTTAAACCTATCAAGGCAGAAGTGTTGCTCCTATGTTCTGAAAAGATGGAGTTGGAAGCTTTGCGCAAAGAGCTATCTGTGAAGGTCCAGTCATTGTACAGGGAGCTGGAGCAGATCCGATTCGAGAACAAGCAGATAACTGCTATAAGAGAAGGGTTGCATGATATACTAGAGGAGATTTTGAGGGCCAGGTTTGTGTTTTGTGATTTTATTTACAGTGCATTGATGTAGAAAATGTCTCCATAATGTTATGCTTTGTTACAGATATTTTTTTTTAAATAATCTTCTCTATTACTTAAGCAGGTTGCATTGTGTTCTGCACATTTTTAAGAATTAGAACTATCAATAATTTCTGCTTTGTTTGTTTTTCTAAATGTACCAAGGTTTGTAGGTCAACTACTAATAATGCTCCACATGGCTAAAATTCATTTCCTGGATGGCGTATGAGCATGAGAAACGAGGAAAAATCGAGCTTCTTGAGCAGAGTCAGGCCATAGAGAGAGATTTTATCAACAAAAAAATGAAAGCGCAGAGGTTACGGTCAGAGCTGGAGAAGAGGAGGTCTGGTGTGTTCAAGCATCATGCATTTGGCTCATACTGTAACAGATAGAGCATGCCACCGCATCCTCCAGCTGATAGATGGCGTCACAAACACAAAGTGTAGCCAAGGGTTTGTCGTCTATCAGAAAAATTAGTCGAAACCAGGACCAAATGTGTTTCAGTCTTTCGGATGATCAGCTGACCAAATTATTTGCTAAAAATTTGTTATTGCTATATCTCAATACTAAGTACTCCCTCCGTTCTAAATTATAAGATATCTACGCTTTTATAGGTACATTTCTTTAACAATATATTTAGATATAGTGTATATCTAAATACATAACAAAAGCGATTGTATCTAGAAAATCCAAAACATCTTATAACTTAAACACCGGACAAAAAAGTCTTCTTGCTGTCAGCAACATACTCATATTAGCCCTACGACGTAGAGTTCTAAGTTGATTTAGCTGACAATCATGCGTTACAGTTTTGCTGAGAATAACCTCACTGTTTATGCGCATGGATGTTTTTTTTCAATGTCAAATTCAGTTTTTTTAATTATTTATATATGAAAACACTAATATGTTGTACTAGTTACAAGTTAAAGCCAGGTTATCTCATAACAGTTGTCTGAACTGTGAAATGCATAATAAACTCAGTTCATATTTTCACATAGCTCGCATTCAGATCATATTTTCATAAGGATCGCAAAAAAGAAAACAAATACAGTATACAGTTCATGTAATAGATCTAGAAATCAAGCCTGATTGGTGAGATTGCAAGCACAGTCAGGAGAGTTGAGAAGTTGAGCACCAGCCCAATCCTAATAGGATGGGTGGGGGCCAACTCTGCCAGAGCAATATCATGAAAGATTTAGCAGAAAAAGAATTAGCAACACATTGAAGGGCGGGCCTGGGGCAAGCGGTAGAGTCTTACCGCCTGTGACCGGAAGGTCCCTGGGTTGGAAGTCAACTTCGCTGAGTCCATCCATGCAAAATGGTCTCCTTGCATTGCAGCAACGGCGGCGCACGGTTGCCATGGACTCTGCATCAAAAACGCTGCTTCTGCATCCAAATGCTGCTTCGAGCAGAGCCGACGAGGAGGTTGGTAAGGCTTGCCACTAACACCCCTTCCTAACAGACCACGCATTGAACAGTCAGGCGGGAGCTCTGACTGCATGCAACCACAGGTACGCCCTTTTTTTTAGAATTAGCAACACATTACATAGAATGATAAATTGGACATATGAAAAGAACTGAACATATTCAATGGATTGGCTCCGCAAAACAATAGGATGTACAGTGAAAATATCTATGGCCTAGATACCAAGATGTAGGAAGTTAGTGCCTAGCCAATAAAATTTAATATGAGAACTGAGTGCCCTAGCCAATAAAATTTAATATCAGAACTGTGAAATGAAGGACAAGCAAATTACCTGAGCAGCTTTGTATGCCACCATGGTGTTCTCGGCTGCATCCTTCTTCTCAGATCCAGTTTTAAACTCCATAAGGTACCTGATACACCTGGATTCAACCTAAAAGATACAGCGGTGCAGCAAAACAGAATTTACAGGAAACTGAAATGCCGATAGTATTATCATAATAGTATAATACCTGTACTAGTCGCCCTTCATCTTTGGTAGAAGACCTTGGACTTTGGAGCTGTAGATGAGGGGACAATGTGGGAATCAATGAGCTTGAGGATTCCATCACAGACCTTGCTGGATGCAACTTCAATCTTGCTACGGTAGTCCTTGATGAGAGTGACACGGTCCTCATTGCCATGGCCTTCTTCTTCATCTTTGGTATGAAACCTTGGACTTTGGAGCTGTAGATCTGATTCCACCTGAGCAGCTTTTGCCACCATGGTGTTCGAGGCTGCATGCAAATCCTGCTTCCGTGCAGCCCTGGTCCAATACGGATCTATATGATGACGCGGTCCTCATTGCCATGGCCTTCTTCCTTCTGCTCAACGGACGATATGATGCGCCAAGAGGCACGTTGGGCTCCAATGACATTCTTGTGGACAACTGACAGAAGGTTGCGCTGCTCCACAGTAAGCTCCTCAGAATCAACTGTCTTAGTCAGCTTCGCCATGCTCTTGATACTCTCAGCCTGCTCCGCAAGCTTAACCATGTGAAACTTTTTCCTCACGGGAAAGCTCACTAGGCAGCGACACCATCACTGTGTATAGTTTCTACCAGTCCACCAAAGATCAACTGGAATTTCAAGGAAAAAGAAAACAGATTTACCTAAACAGTGAAGCAATTTTGTAAACTTTATCCTACAAAAATCACAGATTTACCTAAATAAATATAAATGATTGGGAAAGAAGATCAAAATTTGGAAGCATGATGTGAGAAAAAAATTAAATTAACAAAAGCGACGGATGGATCCAACTGAAATGAACTATGAACCCACAAACTACTGTGCCAAACATGCATGATGACCACATTAAATTTAAATTTTCAGTTTGAGAAAATCATATTTCGTCCAAATAAACATTGGCAATCAGTAGACAGCCGTTGCGTCATATTTACTTAACAAGCCTAAGAACAGCATGCAGACACAAGAATAAACTCAATTTTAGTTACACAAATCAATATCTCAGCTATTCCTCGCATTGATTAAGATATTATAAGCTAAAACAGCGAAGTCCTTTTCCTTTCCATGGGAATGAGAAAAGGATTTCAAACCCAAAAAAGGGCTCACCCTTGGCTCACACATGGGGATTTGAAAAACACCATGGCACAACAGCACAAAGAGGATGATGCACCTCTCTTGGCACATCACATATATGTCATGGAAACTTTACAGATTAGCCGATCATGTGTAATTTAGGTACAACACACATACTTGGTAGTCATCCAATACACTATTGCACTCCATTCCATATTTCCATCCAATCTTACTCAGCTTATTTGCCTCCTTATCAGTACATCCGCACCTATCTTCTCTGCCCACCAATCCCAGTGGCTTTGTCACCTTCTTTACTCCCACAAATGCAGTGAAGAACCACAATCTAATCACCTGACATTACATAAGCAGCTTGTGGTGATGCTGCAGGGGAGGTAGGCTCCTATTTTTCACAAACTTGATCACCCGCATTCCCCACCTCCATCCTTATCTCTATCTTTATCCTTGTCCTTTGGAGGAGGTGGAGGAGCATTAGGCATCTTCAGAAAGAACGAGGTCGAGAGCAGAGACAGTGAGACTTGGACCTGATCCCGGCCCATCCTCACTGGCAACTGCCGCCTCTGCTGCTGCCCGGGCGGCGGCGCTCCAGCCGCACGCTGCTGGACCGGCCGGATGTACATCTCGTGTAGGCGCCGGAAGCCCCAAGCGAAAGCACGACGGTGCGAAGCATCTGCTCGGAGAATCCAGTGTAGGCCCAGTCCCGCAGGCACGCCGCTTCCCACAGCCGCTCGTCCCGCGCCAGCACGCGCCACCCGCGGCTCACGCACGCCGCGGCCGCCAGCGTCCGGGCCTCCGCCCGCATCAGCACCTCGAACACCAGGTCCTCCCCGAGATCCGGCACCCTCATCACCTGCTCGCCCCCTCCGGACTCGGAACCTGGCGGCGCCGGCGCCGGCGGCTCGCCCACTCTTGCATCCTGCGGCAACTGCACCGCCAGCGGCAGCGGCGGTGGAGCCTGCGTGGACGAAGACGAGCACTCACCCACCACGCTGGAGCTTGGGGATGGCTCCTCTGTCCGCTGCTTCTTACTCGGCTCGCCCTCGGGCGAGTCGCCAACGCCCGTGGCAGCGGGGGGCCGGGGCCGGGGGTCGTCGCCGCCGCCTGACGAATCGGAGCGGCACTTCATGGCCGACGATTCGGGGTTGCCTCGCTCGTGGGTCAGCCACTGCTTGCGAGGAGGAGCGGATGAACCTGCGTGAAGCAGTGCAGTTTTATCTACAATGGGATTGGGATTTGGGAATGGTCGCTCTGTTTGGCACAGCTTGAGCTTTAAAAAGCAACTTTTTAGCATCTTAAGCTTTTTGCCACTTCTTGAAAAAAGCAATAAAAAGCGTTACCCTCTCACCAGAGCTCGGCAGTCGGCATGCGCCGCCCGCGCGATCTCCCGGAGCTCGAGACCCGCAGCTTAGCTTGCGCCCTCTCCGTAGCCTCCTTCTTGCTTCCCGAATCAGCACCTGCGCGGAGGGCTTGCGGCGGGCGCCCCTCGATCCGGACGACGGCGCGCGATCTGTCGCGGCAGCACGTCGATCCGCGACGGCGCCGCGTGGATCCGGGCGGTGGCGGAGTCGATTTGGGTGGGGAAGATCCGGGAGTGCGGCAGCGCGGGGAAGCAGCGCGGGGATGATGAGATGAGAGGCGTGTGAGGCGTCCGTGGTCGGAGAAGCTCCTCTCCCCCGGCCCCGAGCTTTTTGGCTTAATTTCCCTTTTTTTCAAGCTGACTTGATTTTGTCGTAAAATACCGGGACTCAGAAGAAGGAAAAAATCATAATTTGTTTATAGATAGGCTCTTACCAAACTCGGCTTTGGCGGGGAAAATATATATATATATATATATATATATATATATATATATATATATATATATATATATATATATATATATATATATATATATATATATATATATATATATATATATATGATGAGTACAGGCCCGATCTTCCGAGAGGTAGCCGATAAGTTCAATTTGTGGAGATCTCGACGTTGGCGATCCGGTTTCAAATCAAACACGATTCGAACCCTGCAACCGTTACACCACCGCTCCGTTGGTTATCAACCAAGCACAACTTGATTGACCTCGCCAAGAAGGCTTTTCCTGCAAGCGAATCGAAGAACACAAGCAAGAAGGTAAAACACACATAATCTGAAATTGCAAATATGAATGACGCGAATATCAATAGAGGGTTCAAGAACTCGATTCCAAAGAACTAATCGACACAATGGAGGAGATCAAGAACGGGGCCCTAGATCACCGGAAAAGAATTTGTCACCACAAGTTACAATGAACGATTCGATTTCTCGATGGAAAACTAAACTCTAAACAAAACCCAATTGTGTAGCAGCATGGCGGCGTTGTGTTTATAGTCTAAGACTCGACCTAGGGTTGGGGACGGCCGGGGTTGGGCGCCCACAACTTGGGCTTAAGGCCCGACACGATACATGGCCAAGTTGGCCCAAATAGGTGACGCAGCACCTTATCGTGGTCACACAGAATGATCCACGGACCTTACGGAGCTAGGACCAGATCCAAAACGATGGCGTCGTCGTCCCCTTTCCAACGCATCCAAGAACGGCCCGTTTCGACGTCGTATGAGGAAGTTATGACCGAAACAGTGACGACGTGTCTCCTGAATCCGAGGGCGATGATGAATACAGGCCCGATCTTCCGAGAGGTAGCCGGTAAGTTCGATTTGTGGAGATCTCGACGTTGGCGATCCGGCTTCAAATCATACACGATTCGAACACCGCAACTGCGTTACACCACCGCTCCGTTGGTTATCAACCAAGCACAACTTGATTGACCTCGCCAAGAAGGCTTTTCCTGCAAGCGAATCGAAGAGCACAAGCAAGAAGGTAAAACACGCAATCTGAAATTGCAAATATGAATGACGCGAATATCAATAGAGGGTTCAAGAACTCGGTTCCAAAGGACTAATCGACACGATGGAGGAGATCAAGAACGGATGCCCCGGATCATCTTTGAAAAGGATTTGTCACCACAGATTACAATGAACGATTCGGTTTCTCGATGGAAAACTAAACTCTAAACAAAACCCAATTATGTAGCAGCGGCGACGGCTGTGTTTATAGTCTAAAACTCGACCTAGGGTTGGGGATGGCGAGGTTGGGCGCCCACAACTTGGGCTTAAGGTCCGACACGATACATGGCCAAGTTGGCCCAAATAGGTGACGCAGCACCTTGCCGTGGTCACACAGAATGATCCACGGACCTTCTGGAGCTGGGACCAGATCCAACGACGACGGCGTCGTCGTCCCTTTCCAACGCATCCGAGAACGGCCCGTTTCGATGTCGTATGAGAAAGTTATGACCGAAAGCGATGACGACGTGTCTGCTGAATCCGAGGGCGACGTGGCGGTGAGTTGGGAACGAATTGCAACTTGGGGAAGACCATGGCGTCGATGTGTCAAAGCATGGCGATGTCCTCATCATCCTCCCTTCTCGAATTGAGTCGTCCTCGACTCCATCTTGGCGATATCCTCATCATCCCTCCTTCTAGAATTGGAGTCGCCCTCGACTCCATCCCATCATCAACGAACTCCTATAAAAGGTTAGTGACGATGAGGCAATGCACCGGACATAAAAGGTTGACAAAACATAGTATAACATGGTGCATCAGATTATCACATAACTCAGCAGAAGAGCGAAGTTGTAGCAAGAAAAGCACCTCCTTTTAACTTAATCCCATTATTTTTAGCAATGTCTGTTGGAGGTTTATTTTTAATCTCATTAGCATGTTTAATAATATCCGTAGGAGACAAAGGCAGCAATGTAATTTCCGTATCCTTATGTATGATGGTGTATGTATTAGTTCTACCATAGTGTAAAGCATCATTATCAAATTCCCATGGTCGACCTAACAAAATGGAACAAGCTTGCATAGGGACAACATCAAAATCAGCAGATATCATGATAAGAGCACGTGAAAAAAGCTAATGCGTCTTTGATTTAGTTACCTTAGTCTTACCACTATTATTGAACCATTGAAGTTTATATGGATACGAATGTTGTCGTGTGGTCAAGCCAAGCTTGTCAACCAAATCTGAACTCACCAAGTTGTTGCAACTCCCGCCATCAACGATAGTGAGAACACGACAACCCTGCACAATGAGATACATATGGAACAAATTGTGGCGTTGGATCTTCATCTCTTTTTCATGTCCCACACGTGTACTCAAACACACGCTGCACAAGAAGGCTAGGGTAGTCATGGCGGCAGCAGCCCACGGAGTCAATGGTGATGGCCTCCTTGTCTTGATCGCCCTCGGTGGGATCTCGCATCAATGTTAGCGACAAGGGCTAAATCATCTTCAACATCACTAGCACTTACATATCCATCCTCGGTAGCAATGAAAGCGCCGACGACTAGGGCAATCCTTCATGACATGTCCCATGCCTTTGCATCGGTGGCAAATGATTTTAGAGTTGGACGAGGAGGAGCTAGTAGAAGCACCTTGAGTGGCACCTTTCTTCATTTGTGGAAACGCACATTAGACAATTTACTTACCCGGAAGAAAATGGAGGTGTAGATGGTCGTGGTGCAACAGAAGCTTGGTCGTCTCCGGCTCGGAACACTCGCTGAAAATTCCTCCCATTGTTAGACACGAAAAGTCTGGTGTTGTTTGCGCCCCTGTACTTCTCGTTCGCCTTAATAGCAAGATGATACAATTGGGAAAAATTGCGCCATTCTTTGTAATCAAGTATGTTTCGTATATCATGGTTTAAACCACCAAAAATCTAGCACTAGCATCATTATCATCTTCATTTATACCACAACGTGCTAAACCAATAAGCAATTCTTGATAGTATGCTTCTACTCCTTTATCATCTTGTTTTAAAGTTTGTAGTTTCAAACGTAAATCACGTTGGTAATAAGGAGGAACAAAACGAGATTTCATACGTTGCTTTAAAACATTCCAAGTTTGAGGCACAACAAAGAAAGATTATTAGTATTACAAAGATCACTCCACCGTAACAAAGCAAAATTAGTAAACTCACTAGTAGCAAGTCTAACTCTATGCTCGGGAGGAACATTATGAGAATCAAATTTTTGTTGAACAGCAAGCTCCCAATCTAAATATGCCTCTCGGATCAACATTACCAAAGAAAAGGAGGTAGACTAAATTTAATTTTAGCAAAAGGATCATTATTACCATGATTATTACCTCCCATGCCGCTGACGATTGAAGTTGAGGCGGCGACGGCACCACCGTCAAGATAACGCATCTTCATCACCAAAAGCATCCCGATCTTCATCCTCAAGACGATATATGAGGGCGTTGCTTCAAGTCGTTGTTCAATGCGGGTGACCAGATTGTTCACGCTATGCGTCACTCGGTCATAAGATTGTGTTGTTCACCATGAACGTTGTAAGCTCGCCCTTGGACATGCACTCATTGAAGTCCGTCGGAGTTCTCGCCATGGTTAGAAGATAGAAAAAGACAACACCAAAGTATTATCCCTATCAACTAAAAGGAAACAAGTGGTGGTGGTGGTGAAAGTGGAATGCAAAATCACAAGCGACTTACCACCGTCTTGCTCGTATTCTTACCAACGCCAAACAGAGCAAAACTAAAGTGGCGAAGCAAACTGTTGTGGAGCGTGGGTAATATGATTGCAAGATGAACCTGTCTTGTGTAAGAATATGTGGAGCTATGGGTAGGCACACAATATGACAAAGCAAGGATTAGCAATTAACGAGTGCAGAGTAGCGATTGTTCAACTGGATCCAAAGTACAAAGTCACAGTCTTTGGCTAAGACATGTCGAGACGAAGCGCAACAAGGTGAAAACAAAGGACGATCGAAAGAACTCACGTAACAAGCAAATAGCCCGGATTTCTCCTTTTTCTGAATTTTTTCCCAGATTTTTCCAAAAGGCACAAACTTTTTTTTTTATTTTTCACTAATTTTTATACTTTTCTCCGAACAAGGATCACAAAAGATGCAACCACAAAAATTGGCACCTACAACTGAGGTGGGATGTGGTCTCTGAAATTCAACACGTTCTCTCGAAAAGCGTGCAAAAACTTTGACAAATTTTTTTTTCTTTATTTTCCTGAATTTTTTGGCAATTTTGACGAAACCAAACAGTATGAAGCCGAGTTTG